TTGAGGGTTGCTTTAAGGTTGAGAAGCTAAGGTTCTTCCCATATGGGATTATGTTGCCTGTTTTTTTGTAGTTCTTGGAAAATAATGTTAGGATCACTATTGGAGGAGGGATGTTTCCTGCTGTGTCTATTTATTTTTTTGGGAAATGTTCCGGTTTAGGATTATTGAGAGTGGAACTATTAGTTATGGTGGGAGATAGTCTAGAGATAGCATGGAATTGGGCCAAAACATGTCATGGGCTGAAAACTATGAAAAGAGAAAAGTACTCGCAACGATGTGCACGCTTCTCTTGTCTAATAAAGTTCGTGGTAAAGCTCTCTTGCACTCCTATGGAATAAAACGTGCATGCTGATTGCATAAGCGATATATAGCATTTAAGCTTTTATTTTTGGAATCGAGCTAAAAACATTAGTGAAACATATAGTTTACCATTTGACAAGAAAACGTCACAGTTTTGATACTTTGTATTCAAATTGCCTGTTGCCAAGTTGCAATGACCAAGAAATGTCACACATAAATGAAGAGTCTTGCATGCAAGCTCGAGAATAATCCTTGGAACACGAGAAACACGCGCTCATGAAAACATGCAGAAGCACAAGCTCAGCCAGCGAACATCACGCCAACTGGTCAGCCGGCGGCTCACCTGCAGGCCCAGGGCTGGATCTGTTGTGCCCATTGCTAGGCCCGGAGGATGGGATGCCTCTCAACGCCGGTGAGATGCGCCGCTCCACCGAACGTGCTGTCAACGCCGGGGAGACAACGCTTTGTCCCGGTGCCTGGCGTTTCGGAACCGGAAGGAGAAGCCTTGGTCACCACCAGCAGCATGCCGCCGGCGACGGACACCTCGCCCAGCTCGACATCAATAGCCACCGGCGCTGGAGCGGCAGGTTGTGTGCTGAGGGTAGCAGCAGGACGCGCCGCCGAACAGCGAGACGGTCATTGCCAGTAGAAGAAACGGCGGCAGAAGCAGCCGTGCCACCGCCGGGGCGGTGGTCCTGCTGTTTCGGGTGGCCATTGTTGGATGTTGGTGAGCTCCTAAACATTTTGGTGTGTGACGCACGCAGCTAGCTTGGCAAGGTGCTAGCTGGGTCGGCTACTACTGCTCTCGTTGTGTATATACACATGCAGCTGATCCCTTGATAAAAATAAACACGAGCTGTAGTGGCTGCACTAATAAATGAGAAAATGTCTAGTCAACAACATGTTATTTTAGCCTCTCTCATCAACCAAATTTTTCTCATATACTTACGTTGTCTTATAACTATATTTACATTGTCTTATTACTATATTTATAATGATTTTTTTCGTATAATTTATTGAAAAGAGTGATGTAATTTAGGGAATAACACAAATATATGCCAAATTTTTTAAAAAGATTTACAAATTATTTCTATAAATTCCAAACATAAGAGAAATATATATCAAATTATTCACAAATTCTTCAGAAATTAAAAAAAAATAAATCCACACAAGGAGGTAAGAGAGGAGAGATTGTCGCAGGGTGTTCTGTGCTCGCGTTCGTGTGTCAGGTAGGGACACAGGCACTGGCATGATTGCTTGCTTGACGCTGAAGCCAAGCGAACACACGCACAGGGACGCATCGCATGCACGCACGCGCCAGCATGATCTCAGAAGGCGACGGGGGTGTGTGTGTGTGTGTTGGGGGAAGGCCGACGCTTCCGCATCGCACGGCCCAAAAAACGGTTGATAACAACCGGCAAATCAACCGGTTGATCATTAGCCTTTCTAATAAATGAAAATATATATATATATATATATATATATATATATACAGAGATCATGCTTTCGTTGAGCTGGATGGTGCTTATTTTGAAAAAAAAATGGTGAAATTGCCTATGAGCTCACGATATCAGCGCAGGAAGAACAAAAAAAAATCTTCTATTACCACTAATATATACTCCACATTAATCCTCATGAAACGTGCTGTGAAAAGAGATAAATCTAGAAATTCCCAAAATAATAACTATCCTTTGATTCAATGTACTCTAATTATCATCGTCAAAAATACGCCTATATTGGATTCTATTTTATTGTATACTCTCTTGGTTCTAAATTATAAGTCACTTTGATTTTTTTTTTCATCCATTTTGCTATGCATCTAGATATAATAATATGTCTAAATACATAGCAAAATAGATAAACCAAAAAAATCAAAGTGACTTATAATTTAGAACCGAGGGAGTATAAAAAAATACCCACATTTGCCATTATGGCAATATATAAATTAAACCCTAAATTTGCATCCAAATTAATCACCTGTGCCATTATGAAAGATAATTTAAAATAACCACTAAAGTTTTGTATCTAAATTGCTCACCTCTACTATTATTAAAATAACCCATAAATTTGTATCTAAACTATACCCATCTCTGTCATTGTGAAAGATAATTTTAAAATAATCCTAGTGCTTGTGTTTTCATCTAAATCACAAAAACTGAACATGATCCTTACAACTCTTTTTCACTTCTTGAGCTGCAGTATCTAAACTATACCCATCTCTCAAAATGCAGTATTTTTCTAGAGTAATAGGGCATGGCCCAGTCTTATCATAGTGAGACCAAAGATTAGTTACAATAACTGGATGGGTTACATCCAAACAAGGAACATCTCAGGTTCAATCAATAGAAGATAAAACAACATAGCAACTGCTACCCATACCCATTTACGCCTTAATGGATAGCCATCTATTTCCCTGCGTTGAACGCCTCCTCCATTGCAGACATGGGTAGGAGAAGGTTCTGGGCTCTTCCTCAGGTATCGCCATCTCTCAGGTCATCGCCGTTTGGTATAGTACTCTGTTTCAAGTTGGCTTCTGCAAATCAGGCCTCATATTATTTTGCAGGATGATCCATCTGTGCCATGGAAGACTAATAGAACAAGCGCCACCTGGAAAAGTAGAGAAATAATTTTCAGTCCTAGTTAGCAGTGGACAAACCAGCCAAAAAAGACAGAAAATTATACAAATTATACTGCCAAAAAATTGGTAATTCAAGGTTTGTACGCCAGGGCCACTTATTGTGTGACAAAAGTACATAACCTTCATTAAAAGTTTATCTTGGACAAAAAATTAGTTCCGAGTCTAAATAGATGAAGGTCCTGATCCTAAAGTTATAGGAGCAGTTTAGGTAGCCTACTCTACAAGGTTATGAGAAGAACAAATCTGCAGTTCCTATGGTATGACCAGAGGAAAAAAAAGACATGTCTAGTCTAAATATTTTTAAGCTATGTATTTGGCGAAAACAAAACAGGTCACTTGGAGGTACCGTTTATAAGCTTCTCCATCAATTGTAGTCCTAGTTTAAATGGAAGAACGAAATTTTTGGCTGTTAAAAATTTTTACCATGGTTTTTGGGCAATATTGTTGTGAACAGACTGGTATGCAGGACGTATTAAATCATTTTGAAATGACGAGTAAGATATTATGAGAAGATCTATTGCCCTTGAGGCCTTGACCCAAGTGCGGTTGTGCCTATCTGTTATGCCACTATGTCTGAAGGAGCCGTGAGAAATGAAGGCATGAACAGGGCATCCAAAGTAGCGGAGCAATTCTAGCCATCTAGGCAAGTTTCTAGCAAATTCTAATCAAAGAAAGAAACAGAGCTAACATGATCAGGGTTCATAAATATAAAAAGAAATGAAACTCAGAAGAAACTATGGAGAAGATAAGCGTACCAGTAAGTAATTCATCACCACGCTTGACATTTAATCCTCTCCACTGATTATTCTTACGTACTGTCCATTTTCGTCATACTCAGATCCGCTTACATCAATCTCACATGCGGCTCACCATACTTTGAAAGGAGGGTGTTTGGTTGAGCATGCAGGTGTGGCAGCCACAGACCAAAAACGCATCTATCTGCACCGTTGAAAACTACTTTGACATTCGTGCTGCTCACTCTACTCATTAATCCACACTACTGTTTTTGGATGGCACATATCTCGATGTGGTGTTTGGACAGTTGAGATAGTCCATGCTCAGCATGTATGCACAGAAAAAACTACTTTGATTTTTCTAGTGCAAATCCACGCCACAGGTGTGGTGGCCATTTTTAGCGTCACAAAGTGTGGGGCTAGGAACCAAACACTCATAATTAATTGTGCAGTGTAGCCCAGCCCTTTCAAGAAAGAAAAAAGGTTTGGCTGGTAGCATCTTGGCATCCGTTGATCAAAGTGATATGACATTAGGACCAGTTATAGGGCTATTGCTAAAAAAATCCCTTCTACGCCCTCCATCATGATAAACAAGGGAGAGTGTTCAGAGTTTATCTCAAAAAATGGGGGACCATACCCACGTGAATTCCATGTATATGTATCGATGTGGTTTGCCACCAAGATCTCCTGGCTCTAGCCAATTAATCGACATATGGCATGCACCGCATGACAATGGTTTGTCCTTGAGATCCACACCCATGTGAGACCATGTTAATTAATCTCACATTCCCAGATTCCCCTGTTAATTAACACCTCTCTCTCTCTCTCTCTCTCTCTTGTATAATTTTCTAGGATTCCTTAAGCAGCCAGGACACTCATAGATGTGTGTGGTTCTGTGCAAGGTGGCACCTTAGAATGAGGGAATATTGTAGAGAATAAAATTCGTCCAAAAACATATAAGGGTACTTGAATGAAGGGAGTAAACGTATACACAAGCTGACTACTGTCATCGGGGGAAACAGAGGTGGTGCACACACACAAAGCACTAATGAAAAAGCGGGGCAGAGATAGACTCAATCAACTGTAGTCATAGTTTAAATAGAACAGATTTTTGGCTGTCAAAATTTTTACCATAGTTTTTGGGCAATATTGTTGTGAACGCCTGAACGGACTGGTATGCAGGACGTATTAAATCATTTTGAAATGACGAGTAAGATATTATGAAAGATCGACTGCGCTTGTGCGGTTGTGCCTATCTGTTATGCCACTATGTCTGAAGGAGCCGTGAGAAATGAAGACACGAACAGGGCATCCAAAAGTAGCAGAGGCTAGCCATCTATGCAAGTTCTAGCAATATTCTAATCAAAGAAAGAAACAGGGCTAACATGATCAGGGTTCAAAAATATAAAAAGAGACGAAACTCAGAACAAACTATGGACAACATATGCGTACCAGTAAGTAATTCATCACCACGCTTGACATTTAAGCCTCTCCACTAGTCCCTGCAGCAGTATTTCAGATTTCTCTTACGAATTTTCCATTTTCATCGAACTCACAACCGCTTACATCAATCTTTATGGCTTGACTTTTTGGGTGCCTGCTGATGGCATCTCTGCATCCAGATTCTATTTTGGCCCACTGATTGCATTTGGCAACTATAAACAAGGAGATCTCTTCAAGGCTAGCAAGGTGCTCAATGCCACCAACTGGACTGCCCCCTTGCAGTTGCATTGCACCTTGTTCGCGAGCATCAAGTTGTATCTTCAGTCTCTGTAGCCGCAGCATTGCGGCTGGCTCAAAAGTTATGCGTGTCAGCTCATCATCACTATAGAATTTGAAGATCTAGAGGCTGTGGAATGTTTTGGGGTGGATAATGATGCTCTTCTCTGGGATTGTGTATGCTCTTAACTGGAGGTTGATGAGGCAGGGAAACTGTGCAAGAACCTGGACATCATCACTTTGGAGCTCCTGGATCTCTAGCACAGCATCCGCCAACCTGTCAGCATGCGCAATCCAATTTGGTAGCTTGGGCATTAATACCTTGTACAAGCTAAGGCTCTGTAGATGCCGTGGACGTGTGAAGCAGTTACTCCAGAATAGTGCTGACGGGGCCCAAGGACTAAAATGAACTAAAAAATCCAGAGTGCGGAGGTTGCTGTTGCCAAGCTTGTTAAGAGAGGCAGCCAGGATTGTCTCAGGATTATTTTCTACGCCATCTGCACTGGAGTCATAATTGTACATCACTTGAAGATTCCTAAGATTGGTCAGCTCACCAAGATCTCTGATGCACTCAATGGAATTAATCCCAATTTCAAAACCGGACAGATAAAGTAGGTTGCACAACTTGCTAAGCCCATTTATGAACACTACAGGTCCTTATAACTTGAGATGCCTTAGAGATGACAAGGAATTAAAATCCGTTAGTTGTTCACTAGAACTAGCCTCCAACCATGGCTTGAGCATATCAAGGGTCATCAAATGCTTTAGCTTGTCAAATTTCTTTGGCAGCTTGAGACGAAAGCCACTGACCCTCACATACTTGAGCAGAAAAAGGTGATTTATAGCAGACAAATCAAGGCACATAGAGGTCATAGGAGTTCTAGGTTTTATGTCCAAGACTCTCAAAAGCTCAAATTTCGAAAGTGGAGGCATACAATCAACCGCAGGGAAGGAAATATATGACCGAACCTGTGATGCCCTCATACTCTCGACTGTTAAGGCCATGTCTCTGTTATTGAACTGATGGCTGATCCGGCGAACTTGTGATGCTCCATTCATTGGATACTTCCTATCAATTATAGTGATGAAGTTTTCCTCTTCGCACTTCAATATAATAAGATCAAGCATTAGGTCGTGAACTTGACATGCCCACACCTCACCAAAACCATGTTCATTGAAGCAAGGTTGGATCATACTCCTGTTGATGAGTTCATTCAAACAGTTCTCAGCAGCTTCCTCCAGATCTACACCACGCTTTTCCGTAACAAATCCTTCAGCTATCCATTTTCTCACTAAACCTTCCTTGGGGATTTCATAGTCTTCAGGATACATACCAAGATACAACAAGCATGTCTTGAGCTCATAGGACAGGCCATTGTAGCTAAGACTTAGCACGTGCCTCATCCATTCCAGTGTAGGATTTGTGTCCAACATTGAACCCAATGAATTATGTATCTTCTCCCATATCTCAATGTGCATGCTTTGTGTATTAGCCAAAAGGCTTGCAATGCTTGTAATTGCCAACGGCACCCCTTTACATTTCCGTAACATGTCTTTCGAAATCTCTCTGAATTGCTCAGGACAACTATCTTCTGTGTCAAATAACCTTCTGAAAAACAGCCTTCTTGAGTGAAGCTCATTAAGGGGTTGCATCTGGTATACATAGCCTTGACTTGGAAAGCAACAGGCTGTACCAACTTCTTGATGGCATTGTTATTTTTCACAAAAGCACACTCAATAGTGCGCCAATCCTTGATGCTCCATAAGTCGTCAATTATGACAAAGTACCTGCAAAGTAAGTAACTTCTATGTCAATCCCCTTTGCATCACAATATGAAAAATTAAATATGAGTAATATGTCACTTAAATAATAATAATGAAATTTATGCTTTTTCCATTACTTCAACTACCATTTTGATATTTGGTAGTAGCTGAGCAAAAATTCGATATGAGGAAGGACAGATCGAAATATCTGGTTGCATGACCCAATAACTTTTAGGAGTTATTGGGGTGTGGCAATACAAAATTTAATATTTCTCAAGAGTTTTTTTTTAATAGCCAGCGGTCATCAGTCCTTTTTAAATTCTTCGTACTGTAACTGAGACATCTCCTTGATGTCTTTATTAAGTGGCCAATAATGAAAATTATTGGGTAATGATTCTTTGTTACCAATTAATTTTGGTCCTTGAGGAACACAGGTACGTACTACACTACAACAAAAGGATTTCTAGAGGTGGTCAAAATCGACTTTTAGGATAGGAATGCAAACGACCTCTATGCAAGGGTCTCTGTAGATAAGTTGATTCTACCAGCAGGTACACAACAACTATTGAAACTTACAACAGTAAAGTTACTTGCTTTAGCAGCCTATCACTTATAATAAAAGGTGAAGGATGGTGGATGTCGTCTGTCACTTATGCTTTTTGTAAGAATATATTTGCCAGCCAATAAAAATATATTGCTCAATAAATCTGAAATATGTAGAATATCTAATTTGGATATAAAAGATGAGGCATTGAAATATAAATAATTAATTAGACAATAGCGCAGAACACTTAAATTTCTTCAAAGAGCAAACAGAACCTAGATATGTTTTTTCGTGCATAGTAAATTTATCTGACAACTAAAAACTCATCCTAAATTTTGAATGTACAAAATGTAACGTTACTACACCAAAGTATGCACATATAGAAATACTGATCCACCCATCAATGTAGCACAATGTTGATATCCAAAAATCCATTCCCCGAAAACCACAAAACAAAAATTCCACAAATCAGTTAAATTGAAAGATAAAGATATATGTGAAAAAGATAAAATATGAACTGCTAGTACTATTTAAATTTATGATATTATTAAATTATTTTAATTTGTTGGAATAAAATAACGCTTGGCAATTCGAATGAATTGAACTTATTTGCTCAATGAAGAAATGATATAGCTATAGATAAGCTTTAGAAAATAATAATTTGGTAAGTTTACCATAAATTCCAGATAAACACATACCTCTTACTGTCGTGAGCCTTGCTCTAAGGATCTCGATTAGCTTTTGGACGTCATCTTCCATTTCTGTGCCACCATATCCAACTCTGGAGAGTATGTCCTTCAGGATCTTTGGCATGTGAGGAGTTCTAGAGGCCGACACGAACGCCGTGCATTCGAACTCATTCTTGATTTTAGCATACACTTGGTTTGCAAGTGTTGTCTTGCCGAGGCCACCAAAACCCACGATGGGCAGCACTTTAAGTCTTCCAGATTCGCTGTCATCTTCTTCCATCAACTGTTTGATGATCTCCTCCCGTGGACCATCAATGCCCACAAGAAGCCTCTTTGCATCCTCAAACATAGCAGGCAGCCTTGGGTCAACTTCCACTACCCTAGATTCTGGGATCGATTCATCAATCATGTATCTATCTCGGCATTGGCTCTACTCAACACAAGCTCTGAGCTCTTGAATCTTGTTGGCAAGCTGATAGTGCAGTCGCAGCTCCCTAACCTTGCGTGAAATCTTGTGAAATAATCCATCCTTGTCATCGTCTTCTTGGCCAAGCTTGTGCATGAAGATGTCAACACTGTCCTCGATATCGTAGGCCATCTCGCGAACCTTGTCTCTCCACACCTTTGTTTGGATATCAAGCTTCTCCATGCCCGCCAGCTTCTCCAGTGCTCCATTCATGTCAGTCAACTCACTGCAGAGGAACTCAATATCCCTTCGGACCCCCTTGCGTTGCTTGTACAGGTCAGTGAGCAGGTCTGATAGCTCGGAGAGGAGTGAGCTCAACACCCCGGTTGCAGCGCTCACCACCATGCACGCCATCTCAACCTCCTAGCTAGCTCCCCTCTCTGTCAGCAACAAGCCAACAATGGTGTGAAATCACAATCAGAATATTCAGAGCTTATCTCAAACGGAGAACCTTAATCACAACGGTCAACTCCTTAATCGCCGCGGCAGCAACAAGTAAGGCCAGCAGGTAGCCAGCAAGCAAGACCTTCCGAGGCAACGCACCCCATGGCACGGCCGGCCGGTCGGCGACGGCGACGGCGACAGCTCGCGTGACAACGGTACGGACGCCGGCGAATGCACCACCCAATCAGCCAAGAACGGAGTGGGAGCAATAGGATTAGACTGCTCTTGGCACCATCTTGAAGAATAATCTTTGGATTTGGAGGAATTTTGGTGTTGGGGTTAGAGACGAGAAGCCATGAAGGTGGGGAATTTCTTGAGAGCTCTTCCCGTGTTCTCCTTCTGTTCGCTTTCTTGTGTCTTCAGTACCTTTTGCATTATTATAGTTGGGGTAATTTCTGGAGCTCTTCCTGGATCCTTCTTCTGTTGATTTTTTAATCTCTACTACTTTTTTTTTTTTGAACGTAATATCTCTACCACCTTTTACTCCGTACATTCTAGTCACTTGCTTACATAATCACAATTAGAACACGCCAAAATAATATAGAAATCAGGGGTACGGTTAATCTGCAGTTGACTCCACTCAGCGCCTCATGAAGGGAAGATATTATTCAGATTTTATTTTGTTTCAATGGGGAAACTTAATTTTGTTACCAATGATACACACATAATAAATAAAGTAAAACACCAATACTCCTCTTTCAAAAAATCGCACGAATCTCAAAGTCCCAGCTAATTAATTGAAGTTTTTTAATAAAGTTTTTCAGTAGGGGTGCTTCACCCCTCCTGTTTGCCTCAAAAAAAAATTTAAACATTTGCTTAATTATTTTTCACCTGGATCCGCATGGGCTCAGCCCATGAGTCCAGACCCAAGCCGAACTCCCTTCCTTCAGATTCTGTTCGTCTCTTCCATTTCTCTATAGCAAGGAGGGAACCTATGCGATCGAGATGGGTTATGGGAATCTCTGTCTGCAATGACCGACTTTCAGTGAAACTCACCTATCTCGGTGAGGGTCGAAACAACATCGTACGGTCAAAAAATTCAATCAAATTATAGTTTTAAATCTAGTTTAGCGTTCAAACAAACCCACAAGTTTTTCCTTCTTCATTTTATCCTTAAACAAATATAAAAGAGTGCAAACTTACCAAACTATAATTGATTCGTTTTCTCTTCGTTCCGGCAGCCTCGTGAGTAGGCCCGTTCTGCTATGCTACTATGCTATGGACGCCACCACCACTGGCGCGTCAAGGTTCATACTATCGAAATATATGCAGGCAGTAGCAGTGTTATATTAACCCAAAAGTTCTTTGGAATTAGGCCAGACCCTAGGCAAGTTTGGTATGACAGCATGTGGCGCTGAATAATGAAGCTTGTACAGAAGTGTTTTCTCAACAAATATTTAACTTGGCTCCATATTTCTTTGACCTGGGGTCTCATTGACCAACGGAAAATTAATTGCAGAATAAAAGAGGGCACTTAGGATATTGAAAACAGTAACAGCTCGTTTGAGAACATACAGAAAGGGAGCAAGCATACTACACAAGTGAGTACCATCGTTTGGAAAGACATAGTCTCAATCTATTTGAGCATTGCGCTTCTGCAGACCAGCCATCATTTTATTTTGCAGGGGGGTAATGTGCCATGGATGAAGAAAAAGAAACCAAGTGCCACCTGGCAGAGTAGGCGATCTGCAACATACACGGTCCTAGTTAGTACTGGACAAACCAACTGTACATTTTGTGAAAATTATACAAATCGTACTGCCAACAATCGGACAATTGGTAATGCAATGCTCCTGTATACCAGGGCCACTTATATTGTGAGGAAAAAATTAATAACCTTCTGAAGAAATTTGATTTTGACAAAAACAAAAATAGCTAAGTTTCAGAGCTCCAGAGAAGCTATATACATTTTCAGAGTGTAAATAGATGACAGATACGCCCCGTGAACATAACCATTCCCCTTATTTCAAGCACCTTGATGATGATCAAACTTCTAAAGTCATAGGAGCATTTTAGGTAGCCCTGGTCATAAGGTTTTATGACGAAGAAATCTGCAGGTACTGTGGCATTATTGATAGTTCTTTCATTTGATCAGAGGAAAAAATACATCGTCTCTAAAGTATTGAGGCAATGTACTTGACAAATACAAAACAGTTGAGTTGGAGGTACCAATTATAGTTATTCAATCAACTGCATTCTTAGTTTAAATGAAAGTAAAAAATATATATTGGCTGCCAAAATTTAGACCATGGTTTTTGGGCAGCACTATTGCGAACAGATCATATGTAGGACAAATTAATCATTTCAAAATGACGAGTACGATATTTCGAAATGCCTACTTGTTATGCCACTATGGCTGAACCAACAGGGGGAAGTGAAGGCATGAACAGGGCATCCAAAGTAGCAGATCAAATCTTGCAAACATATACTACGAATGTAAAACTTGGTGAAACTGTAGCAAATCCAAGTCAGCTGTAAGGAACAAAGCAAACATGACCATGGTTAAAAATTCAAAGAAGAGACGAAGATCGGAACAAATAAAGACAGCTCAAGCGTACCAGTAATCCATCATTTTTAGTCTTCTTGGCTCCCTTGTACTTCATGTCCAATTTCGTCAAACTCGTTACAGTATACACTATAAATCAGCATGGATTGACTTTTCGGGTGCCTTCTGATGGCTTCCCTGCATGCGGACTCTACTTTTAGTCTTCTTGGCTGCCTGCGAACGCATTTGGCTCGTATCAACAAGTAGATCTTTTCAAGGCTAGCAAGGTTCTCGATGCCACCAACTGGACTTCCCTCTGGCAGTTGCATTGTACCTTCTTCACGACCATCAAGATCTATGTTCAGTATCTGTAGCCATGGCATCGCGGATGGCTCAAAAGTGAGGAACGATAGCTCACAAGAGAAATCGAAATGCTTCAGGCTAGGGACTGTGTTTGGGTGGATAATGATGTTTTTCTCTGGGATTGTTTTAGCTCTTAACTCGAGGTACATGAGGCAGGGCAACTGTCCAAGAACCTGGATGCCATCACGCCCGAGCTCCTGGACTCGTAGTTCTTCCAAATAGGCCAACCTGTCAGCATGCACAATACAATTTGGGACCTTGGGTATTATATGTCCGTCCAAACAAACCTCTGCAGATGCTTTGGACGTGTGATGAAATTACTCCAGAACTGTGTTGAGAGGGGCCTGCCATAAAACTGATACTTATGAAAATACAGAAGACGGAGGTTGCTGTTCCCAAGCTTGTCAAGAGAGGCAGCCAGTATTGTGTCAGGATCATCTTCTACGTCACCTGGCCAAGAGTAATAAATCATAATAAGCTCCCTAAGACTGGTCAGATCACCAAGATCTCTGATGCACTCTACGGAATTACTAGTCCCGATGCAAAAATAGATCAGTGTGCGTAGGTTGCACAGCTTGCTAATCCCATTTATCCGCACTACATTTCCAACTCGTTTTGGAAGAGTGAGATGCCTTAAAGATGACAAGGAAGTAAAATCTGAGAATTGGTCCATGGGGCACAATATTGTGGATTCAATATCTAGAGTCATCAAATGTTTCAGTTTCCCAAACTTCTTTGGCAGCACCAAACGAAAGCCCGTGACTCTCAGATACCTCAGCAGAAAAAGGTGATTTATAGAAGATAAATCAAGGCACGTAGATTCTGGTCGCATATATCTATATGAGTCCAGCTGGTCCATGTCCAAAACTCTCAAGAGCTCAAACTTCGAAAGCGGAGGCATGCAGTCAGCTGCAGGGAAGAAGTTATATGACCGAACTTGTGATTGACTCATCCTCTCAAATACCAGGGCTATGTCTCTGTTATGGAACTGATGGCTGATCCGACGAACTTCCAGTGCTCCAATCATGGTGAAGTTCCTATCAATTATAGTAATGAAGTTTTCCTTTTTGCACTTGGATATAATAAGATCAAGCATTAGGTCATGAACTTGATGCTTGCACCTCACCATGAGCATTGAAGCATGGTTCGATCATACTTCTGTTGATGAGTTCGTTCAAACAATTTTCAGCAGCTTCCTCCAGATCTAAACCATGCCTTTCCCTAACAAATCCTTCGTCTATCCATTTTCTCACCAAAACATTAGTCCAAATTACAGTCTTCAGGATATGCACCAAGATATAGCAAGCATGTCTTGAGCTCATGGGACAGGTCATTGTAGCTAAGAGTTAGCACATGCCTCATCCATTCCAGTGTAGGATTTGTGTCCAACTCGGAACCCATTGAATTATGTATCTTCTCCCATATCTCGACATGCATGCTTTGGTTAGCCAAAAGGCTTGCGATGCTAGTAATTGCCAATGGTACACCTTTGCATTTTCTTAACTTGTCATTTGAAATCTTTCTAAATTGTTGGGGACAACCATCCTGTGTGCCAAATAACCTTTTGAAAAAACAGCCTACTTGACTGAAGCTCATTAGGGGGTTGCATCTGGAATACTTGGCCTCGACTTGGATAGCAACAAGCTGTAGCAACATCTTGAATGCTTGTGGTAGTTATCACTCTACTGCCATTATTATTCTCCACAAAAGCACCGTTGGCACAAAAATGTGGCAACGTGACCAACACACAGTAAGCCGGACGATCTGAACAGAATGAGATTGGAGATTTGCTTGGCTTCAACACAGGACCAGTCGATTCTGAAAACCCGACGACATGTCATTCAATTTAACCTACAATTGATAATGAGAGAAAATCTTATCAGTAATTTAAGACGGAACATATCCAGTTCTAAATATGTAGCTAAATAGCCGATTCGATAAGGCTATCGACTAAATAGTCGATATCTAACATATCAGTAAAAGCAAGGATCGCTAAACTGAAGATTATCGGCTAATATCAATGATAATGATACGAATTCAAGATAACCGATACTCATGGGTCACAGCGATTATATTGTGGTTGATTAATCTGGACGAAAAAACAAGTACAATACACTCAAATATAAGTAATATAAGAAAATATCGTCAGCTAGATGGACATAATCAGCGTAAAGCGTTGAGCTAATAAGTTTAACGAGAAATGACATAACATACGAACAAATCAAACTGTCTAGTATAAATGAATTTATAAATACTCTGAATCTAATCTGTTATCATCAACAGTGAGGTTCAATCGGATCGATACAGTTATGATAATGGCATCAGACTAAGGCCAAAAAATCTATAAATCCGTCTATATATTGACAGATTCATGAAATCATGTCATATGCGTGAAATCACAAGCAAATCGGTTAAAATAGCCGATTGTATGCATAGCAAACAAACAAAGTACATGTCTTGATCGTGAACAAAACCACTAATCGATAATTTTCAATCTAAAGTCTTACCAGTGAGGTTCGACCGAGTCGATGCAGCTATAGTAGTATCGTTAGATTATATCTCATTAACTAGTGAGTTTATTCAAAATTTGAACATGTCTCTAAATGCATACTATTTTTTTGATTAGGATAGAAATAAAACAGCCGATCTAGCAGAATTAAGCCATCAATTATAAGATTTAAAGCTTGACCAGATCAAAGGACGACTAATTAAAATAATTTGAGGCCAATCTATCTCTATCTTAATCGGATAATTTATTATAATTAATAAAACATTAATTATAATAAAATTGATAACCCGTAAATCAACCAAAAACAATAAGTGAAATCTTACTAATTTTAGTCGATTCGATAACTGGTGATATTGTACTAAACAACAAGTTATTTAATACAAAACCGATAACTTTAATCTATATTATGATTTGTAAGAGATCAATCAGCTGATGCAGCCTTACAAACAACAATATGAATCGATAACTAACTTACAGTATAGCTCATAAAAGATCAATCAGCTGATGCAGCTTTACAAGCATAATACAAGTCGTGGCAGTACTCACAAGCAAGCTGGAGGCCGATCAGTCGATGCAGCCCTGTTTGCTGAAGAACTCGCCGAGATCTATAATACTCATACTCCTAATGCGATGGCGAAAGCTGGAAAGTTTGTGTTGATTGATTGTTCGTGTCCTTATATAATAACCAGGGTCCAATATTTATACTTGAAACTTAAATATGAATCCTACTCAAATACGACTCATTACGATTTTTGGAATAAAAGAAAATATTCCTAACTTAAAAATAACTTGGACCCTAATCTTTTCCTTATTTGTAGAGTCCGACATATTTTCCCCCGACGTCATCCAAACATAGTCTATTGACGCCGTCTGCTGATGTCATTTATAAAATAGCCGATTCCGATACTGCATCTAAACGAGCTGATATCGATTCACATCTGATCGATTCTCGACGACACAATCTTAGAAGCTTTGAGTTTATACTTTCTTCTTTTCCAAATTTTGGTGTAAACCAGCACATTCAATAGTGCGCCAATCTCTGGTGCTCCATAAGTCATCAATTATGATAAGGTACCTGCAATAAGTAATTTCTAAGTCAAAGTCTCCACATGATACATGCAAAGTGATAAAGTTTTAGATACAATGACAATAGGTCAAAGAAAATATGAGTAACATGCCACGACTTAGGTCTCGTGGAAAGAAGCAGAGGAATAAACATTTGTTCCATGATGTTTTGATTATGGTTCATGCTTAATTCCACGTAATGGGTAACCTCAAAGTAACCTATTACATATTTAGTGCCTAGTAAAATTTATTTGAAAACTAAAACTCATCCTAATTTTTGAAAGTGCAAAATATACCGCTACTACTACAGAGTATAGACACCAGTTAATATTTTTTTCATCTTTAGTACAACTTTATATACACCATTAAGCTTGAGGGGGAACTTATCTAAGAAAAAAAAGTCCCACGAAAACCAGAAAAAAAATCCATAAATCGTATAAATAAAAAAAGATCTATGTTGAAATAAGAACTCTTAAAATTTAATTTTGTGATGTTAGATATTATGACCTTTTGTTGGTAACAAATCATGCTTGAAAATTTTTAATCAAAACGACTTGCTCAACGTACAAGATAGCTATCTATAAGCTTAATTTAGAAAAAACTTGGTATGTTCACATATTGCTATTAGACAATAAACTGTAGATATTTGAGAACAGCGACTAGAAATGGAGAATTAGAAACTTCGACTAATAAATACATTATCTTAAATCCTAGGTAAACATATACCTCTTATTTGTGAGTTGTGCTCTAAGGATTTTGACAAGCTTTTCGACGTCATCTTCCACTTCCTTACCATCAGATCCAACTCCGGACAGTATATCCTTTAAAATCTTTGGCATGCAGGGAGTTCTAGGGACGGACACAAACGCCGAACATTCAAACTCATTTTTTATTTTAGCGTGTACTTGGTTCGCAAGTGTTGTCTTGCCGAGGCCACCAAAACCCACGATGGACACCACTTTAAGCTGTCCAGAAAGACTGCCATCTTCTTCAATCAACAATTTGGTGATTTCCTCCCGTGGACCATCAAAATGCCCACAAGCCTTTCTGCATCCTCGAACAATGCAGGCAGCTTTGGGTCAACTTCCACCACCACTCTAGATGTTGAGATAGATTCATCAATCCTGTATCTATCTCGTATTTTACTCTGCTCCTCAACACGACCTTTGATGTCATGAATCATGTTTGCAAGCTGATAGTGCAGTCGCAATTCTCTAATCTTGCGCGCAATCTTGTGAAACAACATCTCCTTGGTCAAGCTGGTGCATGAAAATGTCAATGCAATCCTCGATATCATAGCCCATCTCACGAACCTTCAGCCTGTTCGTTTCGGCTGAAACGATCGTGGATTATAAGTCAGAAGTACTGCTGGCTGGTTTGGTGTAAGAAAAAAAAAATACTGTTCCACCTTATAATCCACGATCGTATAAGCCAAAACGAACAGGCTTGTCTCTCCACACCTTTGTGTGGCCATCAAGATTCTCCATGTCTGCTAGCTTCTCCAGTGCAGCATTCATGTTAGTCAACTCACAGCTGAGGAGCTCGATATCTCTTCGGACCCCCTTGCGTTGCATGTACTGATCACTAAGCAGCACTGATAGCTTGGAGAGGAGTGAGCACAGCACCCCAGTGGAAGCACTCACCACCATGCTTGCCATCTCAACCTCCTAGCTAGCCCCCCTCTAGCAGGGGCAATGGTGTGAGGTGGTTTGTGCTCTACATTTGAGTGCAATGGTTTAGTGGAATTTCCATGTAACTGGGTGGTGGAGGTTCTTATGAATTATGATGCAGAAATCTGCGCAATTCATTTTTGTCATTGGGATCCACACCCAAGTTGAAAGGACCATCATGGAGATTGGCCAAAGGACAAACAGAATGCACCATAGATTCGTCTCTCTTGCTTTGTCTTCTAGGATTCCCCGTGAATTACAATGCCTTAATAAAAATTCAATGGTGACTAGTTCCTAGGGTGCTCAGTCGGCTAAAGTTTGAGCCTTCCTTTTGTTAACGATTATTTGGGGGCTCTGGATAACATGGAAATGAGATATTTTTTTAATAAAGGAAGCTTTTTTTTTATAAAGGGTGTTTCTCGTTGATGCTTGTCAATCCATACACGCCACCTTAGGAGTAAGTGGTCTGCAACATATATTTAGTCCTAGTTAGTACCGGACAAACCAGTCGTACATTTTTGTGAAAGTTATGCTGATTGTACTGCTGAACAATTGATGTTGCAAGGTTTCTGTATATTCAGCTGGCTCAAAATTCAGGCATGACAGCTCAGAAATGAATAAGCATATTCACAAGTGATTAATATGGTCATCTAGCAAAACAGAGGTAGTTGTATCACAAAGAAGCGAAGAAATAATGAAAAAGCTGGACACAAATGATCTTAATCTGTATGAAGTTGGCTTCTGCAGATCAGACCTCATATTATTTTGCAGGATGATCCATCTGTGCCATGGAAGGCTAATAGACCAAGAACCACCTGGGAAAGTAGACATATATTTGCAGTCCTATTTAGTACTGGGCAAACCAGCAAAAAAAAAAAAAAAGGAGAAAAAATTAGACAAATCATGCAGCCAAACAATTGGTAGTTCAAGGTTTGTACACCACTACACCAGGACCACTTGTAGCGTGATAAATCATGCACATAACCTTCTTTAGCAGTTTAGCTTCGGCAAAAACATAACCAAGTTTCAGGGTTCCAGGGAACTCGCATACATTTTTTTTTCGAAAACGCAGGAGAGCTATGCATCATTATATTAAGAAGATGAAAAAGGGGGCAAGTGGCCAAACAACACAAAAACTCACAAAAAACACACAAGACAGGCCCTAACCACCTGGAGCAATGGCAGCTAGGAGGTGATAAACCTCGAGCCCCTGCCAACGACCATGCCTTTCCCTTATCTTCACCTACAGCCAGTGCGCCTGCAATATTTGGGGCTGTGCCATAAAAAACACACTTGTTGCGGTGTGTCCATAAAGTCCAGGCTCCAAGGATAATGAAGGAGTTCATTCCTTTCCTTAACATGTCACCAACAGTACTGCTCACCATTTCCCACCACAAATGGAAAGAAGTTTCTGTGACTCAGCATACATTTTCAGAGTCTAAATAGATGACAGCTACACCGTGTCAATATCACATTCCTTACTTCACGTGCCCTGATGAAGGTCATGATCCTAAAGTCATCAGAGCATTTTACATAGCGCTAGTCATAAGGTTAAGAAATCTGCAGTTCCTATGTCATAATTGGTACTTCTTTGATCAGAGGAAAAAAAAACCATATTTGCAGTTTCTGTGTCATTAGGTTATGAGGAAAAAATATGCAGTTTCTGTGGCATTTTCTTATACTTCTTTGATCAGAAAAAAGAAATATATCCTCTCTAGAATTTGAAGCTATGTATTGACAAAAACAAAACAGGTCACTTGGAGGTGTCAGTTATAATCCTTTAATCAATTGTAGTCTTAGTTTAAATGGAAGAACAAAATTTAGAGAATGGTCTTTGGCAGTATTATTGTGAACAGATTGTATGGACAGATCAATCATTTTAGTCTGATGTCAGGTAAGATTTTCTATTAAAAGAGCAATGACCTTGTGCCTATTTATTTTGCCCCTGGCAGAATCAAGTAATCAACCATGAGAGTTGAAGGCATGAACAAGGCATCTAATGTAGCACTGTAGCAGAGCAAAACATATACCATATATTCAAATCCTAATCAAAGAAAGGTACAGAGAGGATATGATCATATATTTCAAAAATAAAAGAAGAGACAAAGCACAGAACAAACTAAGAACAGCATAAGTATACTCCATACCAGTAATCCAGCATTTTTAGTCTTCTTGACTGCCTGGTACTATTGCATATTTATCCTCCTCCACTAATCCCAGCAACAGTCTCTGACGTTTCCATTTTCATTAAACTCATATACAGTCTACATGAATCTGTATGGCTTGACTTTTAGGATGCCTGCTGATGGTGTCTCTGCATGCAGATTTTATTTTTGACCCATGATCACATTTGGCATATATATACATGGAGATCTCTTCAAGGCTAGCAAGGTGCTCGAGCCCACCAACTGGACTGCCCTCTTGCAGTTGCATTGCACCTTGTCCACGACCACCAAGTAGTATCTTCAGTCTCTTTGCTGTGGCATTGTGGCTGGCTCAAAAGTGAGGAGTGACAGCTCACAACAGAAATCAAAATGCTTCAGGCTAGGGAATGTGTTTGAGTGGATAATGATATTTTTCTCTGGGTTTGTCTTAGTTTCTAACATGAGGAAAATGAGGCAGGGCAACTGTGCAAGAACCTTGATGTCATCACTCCAAAGCTCCTGGACTTCTAGCTGATACAAATAGGCCAACCTGTCAGCATGTGCTATCCAATTTGGGATCTTGGGTACTATTACTCCGCCCAAACGAAGCCTCTGCAGATGCCGTGGACGTGACAAGCAATTACTCCAGAATTGTGTTGAAGGGGCTCTAGAACCTGACACATCCTTAAAAACCAGACAGCGGAGTTTGCTGTTCCCAAGTTTGTCAAGAGAGGCAGCCAGGATTGTGTCAGTATTATCTTCTGCATCACCTAGCCTAGAGTAAAACACACTTCGCTCTCTAAGATTGGTCAACTCGCCAAGATCCCGGATACACTCTATGGAATTAATCCCGATGTCAAAACGGAATAGAGTGTGTAGGTTACACAGCATGCTAAGCCCATTTCTCAATGCTATACTTCCTCCAAGTATTGGAAGAGATAGATGCCTTAAAGACGACAAGGAAGTAAAATCTGATGATTGGTTACTGAGATACAACCCTGCCCATGACAAATTTATGGTCATCAAATGTTCCAGTTTCCCAAATTCCTTTGGCAGCTCCAAATGAAAGCCTCTGACCCTTAGATACCTCAGCAGAAAAAAGTGATTTATAGCAGACAAGTCAAGGCACAAAGATTGTGGCCCCGCATACGAGCCCTGGTCCATGTCCAAAACTCTCAGAAGTATAAACATTGAAAGTGGAGGCATACAATCAGCTGCAGGGAAGGTATTATATGACCGAACTTGTGATCGATCCATCCTTTCAACTGACAGGGCCATGTCTCTGTGACTGAACTGATGGCTGATCCAACGAACTTGCGATGCTCTATTCATGGTAAACTTCCTATCAATTATAGTGATGAAGTTTTCCTCTTTGCACTTCGATATAATAAGATCAAGCATTAGGTCGTGAACTTGACATGCCCACACCTCACCAGAATCATCATCATTGAAGCAAGGTTGGATCATACTTCTGTTGATGAGTTCATTGAAACAGTTATCAGCAGCTTCCTCCAGATCTAAACCATGTTTTACCCTAACAAATCCTTCAGCAATCCATTTTCTCAACAAATCAAACTTGCGAATTTCATAATCTTCAGGATAAGTACCAACATATATCAAGCATGTTTTGAGCTAATAGGACAGATCATTGTAGCTAAGACTTAGCACATGTCTCATCCATTACAATGTAGGATTCGTGTCTAATTCAGAACCCAATGAATTACGTACCTTTTCCCATGTCTCCACAAGCATGCATTGGTTAGCCAAAAGGCTTGCAATGCTAGTAATCGCCAATGGTATCACCTTTACATTTCTTTAGCATGTCATCCGAAATCTCTTTGAATTGCTTAGGACAACCGTCCTCTGTGTCAAATAACCTTTTAAAAAACAGCCTTCTTGAGTGAAGCTCATTAAGGGGTTGCATATGGTATACATGACCTTGACCACTAAAGCAACAAGCTGTAGCAACATCTTGATTGCGTGTGGTAGTTGTCACTCTACTGCCATAATTATTTTCCACAAAAGCACACTCAATAGTGCGCCAATCCTTGGTGCTCCATAAGTCATCAATTATGACAAGGTACCTGCAAAGTAAGTGACTTCAAAGTCAATGTTGTCTGCATGATGTCTGTTATCCAACCCACATGGCATTTCCAAAGATACAAGCAAAGTAACAACATTTTAAATACAAAAACGATATGACAAAGTAAATGAGTAATACGTCACTTGGTCTCGTGGAAACAAACACGAGAATGAGCAGCACTTGTTCGGTGATGCTTTGGTTTATGATTCATGCTTAAATCAAGGCAACTTCAATGTAAAGTACATATATTTTTGGGCACAGTAAAATTCATGTGAAAAACTAAAAACTCAATCTAAATTTTAAAGAAAAAAAGAAAGATCTATGTTAATAAAAATAAGAACTCCTAAAATGTAATTCTGTGATGTTATTAATTGATTTTTTTTTGTTTGAAACAGAATCATGCTTGGCAAATAATTTTTCAACTTCATACAACATTAAGCTCAAGAGGGAAATTATTTAAGAAAAAGCATTCCCACAAAAACAAGAAAACAAAATTTCAATAAATTGGTTAAATAAAAAAGAAAGATCTATGTGGATAAAAATGAAAATAAGAACTCCTAAAATTAATTCTGTGTTGTTATTAAATGATTTTTTGTTGGAAACAGAATAATGGTTGGCAACTTGAAAATGAATGAAATTGACTTGCTCAACAAACAAACAAGATAGAGATAGCTACTGATAAGCTTCCTTGGTAAGTTCACATATTGCTATTAGACAATGGAAACATCTAGATATTTGAGAAAGTCGATGAGAAATAGAAAATATTAAATTTCCACAGTTAAATATATCATCATAAATCCCAGATAAACGTATACCTCTTATTCTTGAACGATGCTCTAATGATCTCAATAAGCTTTTGGACGTCATCTTCCATTTCCGTGCCACCATATCCAACTTTAGATAGTATGTCCTTCAGAATCTTTGGCATGTCAGGACTTGTAGACACTGACACGAATGCCGTACAGTCAAACTCATTCTATATTTTAGCATGCACCTGGTTTGCAAGTGTTGTCTTGCCAAGACCACCAAATCCCATGATGGATACCACTTTAAGTTGTCCAGGATCACCATCACCTTCCAGCAACAATTTGATGATTTCTGACTGTGGACCATCAATGCCGACAAGCCTTTTTGCATCCTCAAACAGCGCGGGCAGCCTTGGGTCAACTTCCACCACTCCAGACTTTGAGATAGATTCATGTATCCTGTACCTATCTCGGCTTTGACTCTGCTCCTCAACACAAGCTTTGAGCTCTTGAATCTTGTTGGCAATCTGGTACCGCGCTCGCAGCTTCGTAATCTTGCGTGCAGTCTTGTTAACTAAGCTGTCCTTGTCATCTCCCTGGCCATGCTGGTGCATGAATATGTCGATGCAATCCTCGATATCATAAGCCATCTCACGAACCTTGTCTCTCCACGCCTTCTTTTGGACATCAAGTTTGTCCATGCCCGCTAACTTCTCCAATGCAGCATTCATGTCAGTCAACTCACGGTTGAGGAACTCAATATCCCTTCGGACCCCCTTGAGCTGCCTGTACTGATCACTAAGCAGCAGCGATAGCTTGGAGAGGAGTGAGATCATCACCCCAGTGGCAGCGCTCACGGCCATGCCTGCCATCTCAAGCTCCTAGCTCCCCTCTCTGGCAGTGACAATTGTGTTATGGCATCTCCATCGGCGGCTGTATCAGCTAGCTTCAAAGGGACATATCAGCTTGTCGTGCAAGGTGGATAACAGAGCACGCTGTCAGGCAGGTGAAGTCGTAGGTCCTTTACTCTCTGCTCCTGCTCTTCGTCTCGCGCCGGTGAAGGCCACCGCAGCCCGCAGGTGATGGGTATGAAGGGAGCTCCAGCCCTGTGCTGGCCGGCCGTGGCGGCGACACGGCGGTGGAGGAAGCGGCGAACGGCGGTTCGAGGAGGACTGGAGCAGGCGGACAAGACACAGGGAACGAAGGGACGGAAATCGAGGAGGGGAGGACGATCCACGGAAGCACAGGAGGCGGACAAGCGCGGCCGGTGGTGCAGTCCGACACTTGGGGCTTAGATCAGGCCGGCGGTGGCTCGGAATCGGATCCGCCCGATCTGTCCGGCGTGGCCTCCATTGGACGCCACCGTCGTCGATACCGCGGTGGCAGAGATTGGCAGCCGGCGGAGTAAGACGAGATGGGAGGGAGGGAGCTCTGCCGGGGACAGGGGGGAGGCGACGGCGTCGGCGACTGAGGGAGGTCGGGTGAGGAGGGAGATGAGAAGAGAGGTCCGAGAAGAGCCAGTGGAGGAAGACGAAGACCCCCTTTTTTTTTAAATTTGACCCCAAAGATCTTTGAACCCCGGGGTCGGCGCTATGACTCATGGCTTCGAGGTAACACGTCTCGACGCCACAGATCTTAATTCCGAGGTGCCTAAACATGTACAGCAGAGTATTCTAAGTGGCGTTGACATGGCCGGTACCTCGGAGCCACAGATCTCGGCTCTGAGCTCGGAGCTGTGGATCTCGGCTCCGAGCTCAGAGCCATGGATCCTGGCGCCGAGCATGGATTCAAAATCCACGACTAAGTTTCCTTTGCCGAGGCTGCTTTCATTTCTTCTTTCTCTCTCGGGTTCTTCCTCTCCCTAACCCACCAATCTCTTGAATCGACGAATTTGACCTTGAATACTTGGATTTGATCCATACATCTTCACAAGCAAGGTATCCTCTCTCCCCTTATCATTTTTACGCATTGATTTGGTATATATTACGTCTATTTTGCAACCCTAGATACGTTATTACCTAATGTTGTGTGTGTTGAATTAGATAATCCACTACTTCGTTACGTTTTATTTGCACTGCGTGAGCTCGTTTCACTACCTATGCAATATTAAACTCAATATTACGACAACAAATAGTGAAACCAACAACATTATGAAAGGTCCAATAATAGAGCACATTAATCAACATAACAACATTTAAAGTACATGACGACAAACTAAATAACGCAGAACATGCCCTAGGTACGTCCATACTTAATGTGCATTACATGACAACATAATGTAAAGTCCAAGGTTAGACAACATTGTTCATAAATAAACCATAGAACTAGCAAGTTATGAAGACTACTGAGTGGAATAAGGCCACTTTTTCTTTCTTTGGGCATCAGGATTCTCCCCCATCGTTGTCTTCGCTCGGAGCGCACGCTCAAGCTTCCTCTCCCTCTCATCCTTGTACGCAGCAACACGCTTCCTTTCCTCCTCTTCCTTGTGCTCCTTTTCTAGAGCCTCTTCTCTGCGTCTCTTCTCTATCATCTCCTTGTCCTCTGTCTCCCACCGTAACAGTTCTGTATCTACTCCTGGTCTTCCGGTTTGATCTCAGTATTGATCCACTGCTCAAAATCATAGAGCGATAGAGGGGTCTACAACAAATGCAATTGTTACAAAAAAATTATGCAAGACTTTATTTGACACAAAATAATTATTACACAACATCAATTTCTCACCATCTTGTTAATGCGGCGCTGATGAAGTGTAGCCTCAAACGCAAAATTGACACACATTCAATACCTCTGCCTATATGTGTCCTCTTCATCGAACTTGGCTACCTTGCAAGGATCACCGCACCAGCACATGGGCACTGGAACACCAATAGGCAGAGGCAATAGGTCGAAGGCATTTCCGGTCATCCGACCATAACTACAATTGAACCAAATTTGTTCTAAGAACCGAAAGCAATAAACATTAAACCCTAAACCTAGGATTTTTCCATTTGTTGCACATAAATGAAAACATAATATAACACGATGATAAGAGATTACCTTGGCTTACTAGCTTTACCACGCCTTGGCATCCTACCGTTACATAATAAAAAAATAAAAAAATCATTTCAAACATTAGGTAATAACGTATCTAGGCACTACAAGAAGTATGACCTTCTACGACGATTTTCTCATGACGACAGCTAAATTTGTCGCTAAGTCATTTTGTTTTACTACGTTATTTGGTGGGAGTATGACTTTACGATGAAAATTATTTGTCCGTCACTAAGATCTAGAAGCAATCGTCGTAAACCAAATGATTTCCATATTACAACGAGTTGCAATTTGTCATGACATGCTAATAGACAATCGTCGCAACTTATGATTTGAATTTTAACATGATAAGCTCAACTTCACATATAATATTTTAAATTACAATTTTCTTGAATTGTCCAAACAACATTGGATAGAGAAACAACTAAAACCAAATGTTCTATATCTCGATGAGATCAACAATATCTAGACTACTAAAGAAAAATATCATCTATATCATCTATTTAGTCTCAAATGACTTTTGAGGTGGAGTGATTAGAGGTCTACACGTGAGGTTGCAAGTTGGAGGTTCAAATCCCATCAGCCATACGCGTGTATTTTTCGCGCGAAAAATAGGGCGACTTGCTCGCGGCTATGAGATTTCAATATTTTTTCTTTTCCATCCTTAATTTTTTTTGTTCTAAAAAAGAGCCCATTAGGCCCCGCAGTCTCAATAAACCTTTAATTTTTTTATGTTCTAAAAAACAGCCCATTAGGCCCAGCAGTCACACTAAACCCTAGCTCTCTGGATCCCAAAGCAAAAAAACATCCACCGCTACTACGCTTGCATCTTCTCCCGCCGACGCTGGGAGAAAAAAATTCATCCGCCGCCACCAGCTTCTTCTCCCGCCGACGCCATGCGCTCCCTCTTTCTCCCGGTGAAAACTGTCCCAAAATTTTCTCCTACCGCCATCTATTTCTATCCCGCCGACGCCACATGCTTCCTATTTCTCCCAAATCTAAATCGCCGCCCCCACTCCTCCTTGCCTTGCCCGACCTCGACGCAGACCTTGGCGCTGCCCTCACTCCGCCCAACCCGAGTGGCGTCGCTCCCCAAAGAAGCGCCGCCCCTCCCCTCACGCCGACTCAAGCAAAGGCACCGTCTGTCGGAAGGTGCGACCCGCCCTCCCTCCCAAGATGTGTCAGTGACCCTCTCCCCCCACTCCACGCCACTTGAAAGGTGGGAGCACCATGGCTCTTGGTCGGAAGGTTGGCAAACTGCTTAGTTTATCGGACTTGTTCGTTCTTTGGATCGTAAAAAATCTTCGCTAGTTGGTTTGGTGTGAGAGAAAAATACTGTTCCGGCTGAAAATTTACGATCGTTTACGAGGGAATAATCCCAGCCGAACAGGCTGTGGAGCAAGCAGCCAGCAACCAAGAGGTAAACAAACTCCTGAAAATCTGTTGAAATTTTTGAGTTACTGTTAGGGTTTTCAGTTGCTTGTTGCGTGAACTTGTGTAGTGCCGTAGTGGTAGTACCCTTTCATTTTTTTTTCTCTGATTTTTTGTGGGATTTAAGTGAATCCCCCAGTTCTAGGTTTGCCTCTACTTTTTAGCGTAGTGAATCTGCTCACCATGTATGAGGAAGACAATGGGAAAGGTTCATCGTCTACCATCTTTATTTGTCTTAAGATCTTATCACTGAAGAATTGCTAGAAAATTTTCAATCAAATGATTTTGTTATTCAATAGTCCCCTTTTGCCCGTGTATCCTCTTGTTAAATTGTAAATGTAGTCCATACAATTGCGAGTGTGGTCTTTTTATTTGTATTTTTTAATCTGTATAGGTACAAGTGAGTGCTATTTGTACAATCTCGGCTATTTGTTTAATCTATATGGCTACAAGTGAGTGCTACAATATTCTACTAGGGGCTGAGATGCACTAGCTGTGTTAAATAAGTATGATTGGGAGGCTGGAACTTTTTGTTTCTGATATCTATATAATGGATCACCTTTAAAATTGGTACCTATATTAGCACCAAGCATTTTCAACTTAGCAGTATGAAGATCACTGTAGTGTGTAGTTTGAAAGAAACTCGCTATCTTCACTGATGGATTGGATGTTCCCATTATCAACTTTTTAAACATGTCGAAATTTTGCATTGATTAAAAATCATGTTTTGTAGCAGTGTATGGAAGTGATTAGTATCTGCTGATTCATCAATTTTTGCAATGATTAAAAATCATGTTTATGTTCCTGGTGCTTAATCACAGTTTGTTCTATTTCTAGTTAATTCCTTTTTTGTGCATCTTGATCTGTATCATATTTTCAGATATCACTTATGTGGCTTGTAGTCTGAATCTAACAGATAGCTCTCATGTTAATATTGTCCTAATTTAGAATTAACAAGGCATCATAATTCACATGAGTTCTGGGGCAACATATTGTTCCTTCATGGCTTGGGATCATTTTTTCATCTTTCAGAATTTTTTGAAAGTTCGGCTTAGATAAATCAATCTCTGTTTGTCCTGACTTGATGCATCCTTCGCTGGATCAGTAAGCTACCTGATGCTAATTTCAGAGAGTCGGCTGAAATCCTCTGCTATTATTGCAGAACTTACGATAGCTGAAATTAGTGCTATTTTTCAGACAAAGAGGTTTGAATTAACTCATGCATACAATAGCTATTCATCTGTACTACCAATTACTAATTGCCTGATGAGTGATGAGTACCTATTCATCTATGCATTTTAAATAAGCCTACATTAGTGCTACAGGTTACTCTTTCATTCAATAGCCTAAGCTCACATTTATCCATTGGGCCTATGCTTTCAATTCATTTGTCTTGCTTCTGCTGCTTGACCTCAACTATACAAGCAGGAGTACAAGAATGATGATGAAAATGAAAATCCTTTTAAAAACTACATGGGAAAGATGGGCGTAAGTAGAAGAAAGCCTTTCCAACAGCGCAATTAATGTTTTCTTTTTTGTTATGGTTTGAATGCCTCTTTTCTAATCTATGTGCTCTTGACATGCTCTTCACTAGATCAAATTTTCCATAGACCCTGATGACAAGGAAGTTGAAGCTGCATGCTTCAAGACTGGGCAACGACAATTAAGGCACAAGCTGAAGAGGGCTTACTTTGATGGAGTACCTGCAAATGAAGTCAGAACAACATCGCCGGTGAGGAGTATGACTGATGAACAATGGATTGCATTGGTGGAGCTGTGGTCATGCCCTAAGCATAAGGTATAGAGTTAAATGGACAATTTAATTTGATTGCTCACAGTTTGTCTGAATGAAGCTTAAGTTGTTTACATATTAAAATTATGATCGACAAAATAGTCTGATTATACGCTGGACACTATATCTGCATTTGTTCACAAAAATAATGATGTCATTTTACTTCCAGTACACAAACTAGTAGCTGGTACTAAAAACGAAATGGCATTGATATATGTAGTAGTTTTCTAGAAACTACCTTTATAATCTGATCCTTTAATACTACGATATATCTTATAGGAAAGGTGTATCAAAAACATCAGCAACCGTGGAAAAGTATCTCCTTAGACTGATTAATACCATGAACCTAATAATATACAATGTCCCATCAATAAAATGAACCTTCTATATGACTGATTACAATGTTGCAACAGCAGCAATTTTGAGTTCCATACTAGTTAGCAGACTCAGCTCAACCTTTAGCTATCTTTTAAGTTTCAGTCTAATAACTTACAATACTTGCTTAGTGTGCTCCTGCAATACTACATGGCTTCTCGTTGGTTATGTGCTTATTATTTTATTTCTACAAGGCTATGAAAAGAAGACTCATCTGTTGCTTGTGGAAACTAGTAGAGAACAAATTAATGCTATTTTATTTCTACACCTTTAAGTGAATCACAGAATTTTAATATGACATGATGTTGCCATAGTGTAAAGTGGACATGCTAATTTTCTACTTTAACAGTTTAATTATGCATACAGAATAGTCGTTTCATGCTACATGTTCTTTATCAAATGTTTAATTATGCATATAGAGGAGTCGTTTCATGCTACAGTTTGCAGCAGCAGCAGCAGCATATATTAAAGTACCTACACTTGTATACTAATGCAAACTAATTTTCTTATCATGTTAGGGTCAAATGGATACCATGACGGCTCAGCCTACACCAGAAGGGGGACAACCAAAGACTCCTGATGAAGTTTTTGCTCATGTTTTGCCATCAAGTAAATTTCTTCGAAATGTTGGCCTTGACACAGCAGTCTCCAAGAGAAGCGCTACTGCTGCTGCACGTGTACAAGAGCTGGAGGTTGAAGTTGCGGCCGAGAAGTAAGGAGCTGTAGCACTTAGAGATCAACTTCATTGCCAGCAGGATGAGTTGGAAGCGTTGAAGAAAAAGGTTGAGGAATCAGAGGAAGCAAGAGAGAAGCAGACACAAGAGATTGGAAATTTGAAGAAACAAGCAAAAGAAACAAATGCTCTTCTTCGTCGGTTGTTCACGTTGAACAAGGACTAGGTCACTCCTTACCTTTTCCTTTTATCCTACTGATCATGATGCATGTCCTCAACATGGCTTGGATATGTGTCTGTTTATTTATTTTGGTACAATGGCTTGGACCTAGTAATGGTTTGCATCTGGTTATCTATTTGGTAATGCCTTGGATACGTGGCTGCTGATTTTGCCACTTGGGTGGATCTGGTAGTGACTTGGACATGAGTTTAATGTATTTTGGGTTGAGTTTGACATGTGAAATTATTTGAACATGTAACTCTGAATGGATCTATGATGTAATGAATGTGAGCACTTGATGGTTGACAAATGATTTCTATCTGCAATGCTGCGATGGGTTGTATATTGTTCAATGGACTTCTTGTGAGCTGCAATATGCCATGTCAAATCCTGTTGCATCATATGACAACAATATTTTATGATGATCTTTTTTGTCATATGTGGCACATGTATAGTCATCTATGGTCAAATTTTTTACGATGTTCTCTCTACTTGATAACGACGAAAATCGAACGTCGTAAATCAATGACACAAGTATGAACGTTGCATAATTACGACGATAATATTAGTTTTGTCGCAGAACACCTTTAGCTATGGGGAATAGGCGACGAATGCATTTTAGTTGTGCATTCGTCGCAAATTGTGAAATACGACATAATTTTCACTTTTTGCGACGTAAATGGAACGTCGTAGAAGGTCATATCTCTTGTAGTGAGGGTTGCAAAATAGACGTAATATATACCAAATCAATGCGTAAAAATGATAAAGGGAGAGAGGGATACCTTGCTCGTGAAGATGTATGGATGAAATCCAAGTATCCAAGGTCAAATTCATCGATTCAAGAAATTGGCAGGTTAGGGAGAGGAAGAACCTGAGAGAGAGGAGGAAGAAATGAAAGCAGTCTCGACAAGGGAAACTTGGCTGTGGATTTTGAATTCATGCTCGGCGCCAGGATCCATGGCTCCGAGCTCAGAGCCGAGATCCATGGCTCCGAGCTGGGAGCCACAGATCTTGGCGCCGAGCTCGGAGCCAAGATATGTGGCTCCGAGGTACCGGCCACGTCAACGCCACCTAGGATGCCCTTCTGTGCACGTCCAGTCACCTCGGAGCTAAGATCTATGGCGCCGAGACGTGTTACCTCGAGAGTCATGAGTCATGGCGCCAACCCCTAGGGTCCAAAGATGAGTTTATGTCTTCCAGAGGGCAAAACATAAATTTTCTTCAAAAAAGGACTAAATTATAAAAAATTGGGACGAAGAGAGGGTGCTGTGATTAAAAAATATCCTGACATGTGGAGTCCACGTGGTTTTGGAATTAAAGGTCTCACATGTAGCTCATAGTCATTTTCATCCGGCTCATGAAAATGATTCCGAACGTGAGATTCAAAAAGAAAAAAAATGATTCCGAACGTATCATGTTGTTGAACAACTCATGATTTTTAGGCCAGTCTAAGTAGAGAGTTTCATTACGTTGTTTCCAAGATGGCCACGTCATGTAGATTGAAATTAAATATGGATGAAACACATATTTTCAATGGAGAGTTTCATTCTAGAGTTTTATAGATATCTGATTCCATAACTCATAGAGAGTTGGTATTCGTGCCAAGAGAGTTTTATCCTCATGAAACTCACTTTTTCTCTCTCTTCTTAAAAACCTTGCCACATCATCAAAAATGCTTATGTGGCAGCTCATTAAATACAAATGCAACTCTAATGAAACTCCCAATAACACTGGCCTTAGCAATTGGGGACGTTTATGTCGGAGAGGGCGCGCTGCTGGAATGACCGTCCACATGCCAAAAAAACATGCATTTTAATGTAACAAGACAACTGTTGTATTAAGTACAGCATTACAATGTGAGAAAATTTGAGCTCAGCTATCTCTCCAGCCTGAACACTCTGATGTCAAGCTAAACTCCCTCCTCTCTAATCCCGCGGGCTATACTACATGGGCAGATTCAAGGGTATTCCCTTGTATTCCCGGGAATATCCAACTATTTTGGGACATCTTAATGTATATATGAGTATATACTTATATGTATATATGTATAATACAACATTCTGTATAGCATTTCCACTCAATTTAGCCCAAAAAAGAAAAAAAAATCAGCCTTTGAGCCTTGCTTCCCAAATATTTTAAGCCTATGGATTCGATTTTTCTATGAGATGGAAGTGGGAATACCCAAGTTTCAAATCCTGGCTTCGCCACTGTTATAGTACTCTCGTTAGGTGGGCTACAACATTGGGCCTCCACTATTTGTTTCTCGAATTACGCACGAAAGCTACGGATCATTTCATTAAGAAGAAAAATAAAAAATACAAAGGGAGGGAAAGTAAGACAGCCCCTCTAGGCACCCCCAAAGAGGGTTTAGTCAATACATCATGCTAGAAAACAAACTAGGGAAACATAATCAACAACCTCAAACGACCAAGGACCTAGGGATGATCCAAGACCAACGGACTAGCAAGGAACTCATGTAAGGCCGAGGTTCCCACCATACACCGTAGATTACTCTCATTGGCCACAAATTGAAGAAGCACCTCTATATTAGGCCAAGCACCTTAAAAAAAGCAAGCATTTTGGTGCTTCCACAATTCCTAATAAAAGCAACTAAAATTATCAGACTATTGGGGCCTTTGTGTGAAGCCCTTAGACCCCCTTTGCGGTGTTTGACGTACGACTTTGCCTGTCTCAGGAGCTCGAGACTCGGTCCCTTGGGAAATCGTTGTTCCTACTGAAGGAGATGGGAGTCTGGGAGCAGCTCCCAAATACTTCGTGACAAATGGGCTGCTTATGTTACGCCTGAGAGCTATTGTCGGTCTTGAGTCTGTCTGAAGTGGAGGACCTCCGTCATTGTGTGTCACTGAAGGCCGAGGTGGCCATGGCTAAGGAGCAGTCTGCCTTTTGGTGGCGAAGATCAAGGAGCCGGAGGAGGAGCGGGATTCCCTCAAGTCTCGGGCCCAAGAAGCAATGGCCTCTGCCAAGGTCACCGCCGGGCAGGCATTGGGGCATAGAGCAGAGTGAACATCACCGTGACGAAAGTCGCTTTGGCGAGGGCTACCAAGCGGCCGAGGCCTCTCGAGTCGAGGCTTTAGCCCGGAAGAACAAAGCCGAGGGTAAGTTCCACTGAACCGCGCCCTTGTTCCGTTTGCTCTGGTTTGCGTTCGACCCCGACTCTTTGTCGTGGTGTAGGTCTGGAGAAAGAGGCCTCCCAGTAGTGAGGCCTCCGTCGCAGCCGCTGGCGGGCTTGGACGTTGAAGTCTAGGAGCACGAGGCTCATGCAATACTGCCGCCTGCCGCCTGCAAGGCTCGGAGGTCGAGGGGTCCAATCACCAGCCTCCCTTGGGAGCCACCGATTCGCTTGAGCGGCCGTGTCCACGAGAGGCTCCGGGGCGTTGCACACGTGTCAAGCAAGCGCCCTGGCCGTCGCTTCCTCGCACTACGCCGTCAACCTCGAGGTCATTAGCGATGGCTACGTCTTGCCTGGAGATGATGAGGAGGCCGATCGCAGAGGTCACGGGCCGATGGAGGCGGTGGAGCGCTGGCACGGCGTTAGCTAGCCTGTTTGAAGAAGAGGTGGTCCCTCCCCGCCACCCGATCCTGAATTTTGACTGGGCGGCCAGGGCCATGTAAACGGATTGGTTTAATTGTCACACCGTGACGTTTTGTGGCCGTCGAGGCCTTTTTTAAATACTTGCGTATGTGCGTTTTTAACCGCTTTCTTATTCCATTTCCGAGCCTGTGCCCCTGCCTCGTTCTTGGATACCCGCAGAACTTCCTCGAGCCTAAGCCATCCCTTGGCGAAGGGTGGCGAGGAGTTGTCGTAGCCGGCGTGTTCTCACGGCTCGACCGCCCTTTGGCCTTAGGACACGCTTTTGGTCCTTAGGTTTCTTCGACGGTCCTGCCAGGAAAGCGAGAGAGTTTGGCGTGGAAATTTTCGAAAGACGGTTAAGAAATGGCGTTCGAGGACTTAGGGGTTCCCCTTTTTTTAGCCCCCCTGGGGAGGCTCGGCTCTCTGAGCAGGCGAGGCGAGTCTCTCTCGTAGCGTTAGGCAGTGACGTCGAGCCCTATCGATAGACAAGCTCTTTGCGAAGAACTTCCTCGGAGCCTAAGCTATCTCTTGGGCGAAAAGGTGGCGAGGGAGGTGCCGTAGCCCAAAGGCGTAGGTCATTCTCACGGCTCACCGGTCTTTTTGCCTTTGAGACGAACTTTTGGTCCTTAGGTTCCATACAATCGAAAGGCTTTATTATTAAGGGGGGGCCTCGAAAGATTGTAACAACTTAAAGAACACTTCTTTATTGTATTTCGAGAACAATGTAAACAACGTTTGGAAACTTAAGGGTAGAAACGACGTAGTCTGTTCTATGTTCCAAGCGTTGGTGAAGATTTCGCCCTTCCCTGTTGGCCAGCTTGTAGGTTTCGGGCTTTAGTACTTAGGCGACGATGTACGGCCCTTCCCATGGCGGGGTCGACTTGTGGCGGCCTTTGTCGCTCTCGCCTCGACCTCGACCAGTCGCCCACCTTCGTGTCTCACTCTCTGAATGTGCCGGGGGCTTGGTAGCGTCAGTGGGGCTTCTTGGTATTTGGCCGAGTGTGTAGGGGCAATGTCTCGGGCTTCCTCAAGTTGGTCGAGGGCGTCCTCATGGCGGTCTTGGTTGCTTTGCTCGTTGTAGGCCTGTAGTCTCGGGGCCGTACTCCAAGTCGGTGGGGAGGATGGCCTCGGCCCCATAGACCGGGAAGAACAGTGTGAATCCGTGGCTCGGCTCGGTGTATTCCTCGAGGCTCCAAATGACCGAGGGAGTTCGGCAAGCCATTTCTTGCCA